AGAGTCCTTGGTGCAGAAAGCAGACCCTGCCCGGCTCAGGCTTCCCTCTGCCCCGGACTGAACCAGGGTGTGTGCAGGGCCTGTCTCCACCCTTCCCAGCGTTGGGGCTGGTGGGTGTGTCCACAGGGACCTTGGACTCTGAGTCAGTGAGGCCTCCGCCTGCTGCCCGCGCATGTAGGGGTCACACAGCCCTCCCCCCACTTCTGTGGTAGCAGGAAGACCCTGGCCCTTCCTGTGGCTCCTGGGACAGTCAGCAGATGTCACAGCAATCACTGCGGCACTCGTGGCGCACGCCTGTGTGGGCGCGGTGCCAGGCGTGCCAGGCGCTGCTCCAGGCCTCACCTGGCCTTGGACTTGTGGGTGCCAAAGGCTCTGCTGCCAGGACAAGGCCCCGCCGTGACCCCTGGAGCCCAGCCCTGCAGGAAACCTCACCCATCCCAGCAACTCAGCCCTGTCTCAGAAACGCTGAGCCTGGACCAGGAGATGGGGCGTGGCTTGGGGGTTGGGTAGTGACCCCTGAACCAGGAGGTCAGAGTTCAATTCCATCAGGGCACATGCCGGGGGTAAGGGCATATGCCGGGATCCCCAGTGTGGGGCGTGCGGGAGGCAGCTGATCCACGATTCTCATCATGGAGGTTTCTACCTCCGGCTCCCACCCTCTCTGAAATCAACAAAGACAAAAAAAAAAGACCAGCCGGAGCCACCATGACTTGGAAACTGAACTTGCTCACGACCTGGCTCGTGTGGCCGCTCCTCTGCTGGGCGCAGCCCCCACAGCCACGCGGGAAACGCGGTTTGGGCCCCAGACTAAGAACCAAAGGTCAAGAAACGGGAAACTGGCCAAGTGACAGGAAAGCAGACAGACAGCGTACGCAGACGAGACCTCAGAGGCTGCCAGCGTCACAGATACCCCTTAGCTTAGCCCACGGAAGCTTCCAGAAGCCATGCCTCTGCTGAGCTGTGCGTGTCCTGGGTACTGGGGTCTCTACCATCCCCACGGCCAACAGCCATCCCCATGGTGGGGTGAGTGAGGGACGCTCGGCCAGCAGCCACCAACAGACAGTTGGAGCCCCCAGGCGAGGGGGCAGTGTTCAGGGAGTCCCCCCCCCACCTTCCCCGGAGGCTTCTCTCCCTTTCAGCTCCTGCTGGGACCCTCCCCGGGGCCCTCCAGGGAGACCACCATGGGGCACGGGGGGGTTGGCCCTGGGACGGGGTTTAGACCATGAAGTAGGAGGGGATCACACTGTTCAAGACGGGCTCAGCCCTCCGGCCAACGGCCTGAGGGGCCGTCAGTGCTGGGCGGATGCGGCCTGAGCAAGAGGGTGACCTAGGAGCCAGGAGGTCAGGGGTCGATTCCCGGGCAGGGCACAGGCCCCCAGTGGGAGGTGCAGGAGGTAGCCCATCCATGGTTCTCTCTCATCATTGATGTTTCTCTCTCTCTCTCTTCCTCTCTGAAATCAGTAAAAATATTTAAAAACATAAAACTAAAAAAACAACGCATCACGTCTGCCGGCAAAGGACCGCGGAGAAGACAGGCAGACGGGAGGAAGGAGGATCGTGTCCACCCAGGTCAGGCTGCACTTTTCCCTGCGCTTCGTGCTCCGGAGTTCACACCGCTTTCTTCTTCTCAATCTTATTTCAGAGCCGTTAGGTTTCTGGAAAAGTTGCAAAGATGGTGCACAGAGTCCCATAAAGCAGGGCTCCCAGGCCTCCCTGCCACCCCCAGAGCAGGTGCGGCTGTGACAGCTCCCGGGCGATGTGGACGCCGGTGACCACGCCCGCACTTCCTTTCCGCAGTTTTAACCTTTGTTCCTTTTCTGCTCCAGCGTCTCCCAGGACTGTGGCCTCCGTCTCCGCAGGCCCCTCAGGCTGTGGCCGCCTCTCCCTGCCCTGGTCCGGGTGACCTTGACGGTGCTGAGTGTGCAGGCTGGCCCTCTGCTGGGTCTGTGTGACCTTTGTTTCTCTCGTTATCTGGCCTCCTGGGTTTGGGGGAGGAAAACCAGGAAGGCAAAGTGCCCGGCTCATCAGTCAGGTCAAGGGTCATGCTCTTAGCCTGACTCCTGGTGAAGTGCCCTCCGTCACCTGGCCCAGGGGTGTTCCCCAGGTGTCTCCACGGTCGTGTTTCTAGAAGCAGGTGTTCTGCAGGCAGGATCACACCCGTGAATCGGAAACGCGTTGCTTTCTCTCCTGTATCCTTGCCTTTAACGTCGGCCTCGGGTTGGCCTGGTACTGGCGTCTCGGGCGCGGCTGGACGGGCCGGCAGCCTGGCGTGCAAAGCAGCGGGTGTGGCGGATCCAGACTCCTCCTCAGGGTCAGGGAGTGCCCTTCTGTTTCTATTTTGCTGAGAGTTTTTTTTTTAAATCATAAATGGGTGTCAAATTTTGTCACATTTTTGTCTGCATCATTGAGAAGATCATGTGTGTTTTTCTGTTTCTTCTTTTCTTTAAATTGATTTTTTACTAAATATGTTTTTATTGATTTTTTTAAAAATATATTTTATTGATTTTTTACAGAGAGGAAGAGAGGGAGATAGTTAGAAACATCGATGAGAGAGAGACATCGATCAGCTGCCTTCCGCACACCTCCCACCGGGGATGTGCCCGCAACCCAGGTACATGCCCCTGACCGGAATCGAACCTGGGACCTTTCAGTCCGCAGGCCGACGCTCTATCCACTGAGCCAAACCAGTTTCGGCGTTTTTATTGATTTTTAGATAGAGAGGGAGGGAGAGGGTGGCTCAGTGGATGGAGCGTCGGCTTGCAGACCGAAGGGTCCCGGGTTTGATTCCGGTCGAGGGCATGCACCTCGGTTGCAGGCTCCTCCCCAGCCTGGGCCCTGGTCAGGACGTGTGCAGGAGGCAGCCCATCGATGTGTTCCTCTCACATTGATGTTTCTCTCTGTCTTTCCCTCTCTCTTCCACTCTCTCAGAAAACAGATCAATGGAAAAATATCCTCGGGTGAGGATTAAAAAATATTAATAAATAAATTTCACCAAAAGCCTGCAGGGGCCTCTCTGCAGCCAGCTGGGCTTGTCCTCTGCATGGCTGCCTCCCCCAGGGCCCCGGCCTCCCCACACGCTCAGCTCCGCTCAGGCCCCTGTGCTGTGCCCCGTCCGGGAGGGGCCTCCCTGCAGGAAGCAGGGTGCCCGCAGGGCCGGGCGGCCTATGGTCCGCAGTCTAAGCTACTGGCTTGGTGTTTTCCTTCCTGTTTCCTGTTGCTATGGCTGGCGGGCCACTCCATCTCTTCATGGCCAGAAGCGGATGTCCCTCTGTCCTGTGTTGACACACGTTTACATGTAAAGGATATGATTGATCTGAGGTTTTTTTAATCAACATGTTAGTGACATATTTCCACGTGAATACTGTCAATCACGGGCCACAGAATAATATTTGGGTCATTGACAAATCGCATACACACGTGGGGGTTCCATAGATGGTCATGAGCTGAAGCAAGCTTCTCGCCTGGTGACATCACCGCCACCGTGAGCCGTAGTCATGTGTGACGGTGAGAAACGCCTCACGTGGATCCTTCCCATCTCCCGGCGTCCGCACAGCGCAGGCTGCCAGGCTGGGGCCCAGAACCGAAGGGGAAACACACCCAGATGCACCTCTGGCGCAAGATGGCTGTAGGTCAATGGTCGGCAAACCGCGGCTCGGCAAATGGCGGCTCATGAGCCACTGGTCGGCAAACCGCGGCTCGCAAGCCACATGCAGCTCTTTGGCCCCTTCGGTGTGGCTCTTCCACAAAACACTGGCTCTTCCATAAAATACCGACTTCTGCGCATGGGCCACGAAGCTTCAGTCGCACTGTACGTGCGCGCCTGCACATGGTACTTTGTGGAAGAGCCACACTCAAGGGGCCAAAGAGCCACATGTGGCTCGTGAGCCGCGGTGTGCCAACCACGGCTGTAGGTGGTTTATGGTAAGAAGCCGCTCTGAAAACCAAGCACCAACTTTCCTCTGCAAAGGACGTTCTGTGTGAGAGACACGCCATCTCAGTGGTCGGCAAACCGCGGCTCGCGAGCCACATGCGGCTCTTTGGCCCCTTTTGTGTGGCTCTTCCACAGAATACCATGCGCGGGCACACACGTACAGTGCGATTGAAACTTTGTGGCCCATGCGCAGAAGCCGGTTTTCGGCCTGGTCGAGTCTATTTTGAAGAAGTGGCGTTAGAAGGAGTGGGGGGTGTCGGTCGGCAGGCGGCCATGGGATACGCAACGCGGGGGAGGCGTGTGCGATTCATGCACGAGTTGAGTGAGCCAGTCACTCAGCATCTCATTGTGCAGTGGTTAGTGCTAGTCACGTCCGGATGACAAAAATACCTACTGGAAACATAAAGTTACCTGTATTTTTCCAACCAGCTGCAAATCCTACAGGTATTTTTTGTCATCAATTTAAGAATTGTAATTATTTTGTGTTGGTGGCTTTATTATTATAAAATGAGGATGTTTTTAGCAAAGGCCAGCTTAGGAGCACCCTAATGAAGTTAATAACATGTACCTACCTATATAGTTTAAGTTTAAAAAATTTGGCTCTCAAAAGGAATTTCAATCGTCCTGTTGACATGTGGCTCTGGTGACTGATGGGTTTGCCGACCACTGCGCCATCTGCCGGGGGCCCCTCCCGGGCAGGAAGAGGGCTGACCTCACCCTGCGAGCTCTTCTCCTGCGGAAGGAAGACTGAAATCTGCAGGATGACCTGGCTCCATCGAT